AGATCAGCCTCAAAGGTAACAAAATACTAAGTGAATCTAGGTGCTATGGGAGGAGAATGGATATCAATACGTCTATATCCAGTAAAGTGTGGTTGAACTAGTTTTGATTGACAGAAGTGAATCGGGCGACCTTTCGGAAAGCACTTGAAAGTGTTTTAGATCTATCAGCCCCCACCCACCTACTATGCTTTATTCGGCCTTTCCTCAGTTTTCGCGGCCCATCGTGCCCACCACCGAATATTACCGTCTTTGGAAGCACAATCTACCTATGAGGTTGTCAAGAAGTGGTCGACAGCTCGCTACCGCTTTCGTCTTGCTTGAGGCTCATTAGGTTGGTGCAATCCTCGGTTTGTCCGTTTGGGTTCTTTGCCTAAATCTTCATTCATATCATCATTGATTTCGGTCCGAAGACAGGATTTCGGGCACAGTACTACGTCTAAAGACTTCTCATTTTACACCTTGCCGTCTATTTGAGCATCCATCAGGGGTGCCCACCTCATTCCTATCTAATTTTGTGATCAATGAGCTAATGAAATGAACGCTGGAAGGTCTTCAAAACCGCGGTGTCCAAATAGCCTCTGACGAAAACCTTGTTGATCTGGAATGTGCACGCAACGTCGTGGAGAAGGCGTAGGTGTCTTTGGGTGAACTGACCAAAGTCATCCCGTCCTTCGGTACGCATTTTGAACCCACAAAGATATGTAGCCACTGAAGACGCCATATACAAACCAAGGAGAGGCATCGTGTCTTGAGAGTCGTATTAGTTCCGATTGTAGTGTGACCGATGACGCAAATGCCCGATTCAGAGGGGCAGAAGCAGGTAGGTGGCCAACATCTGACCTGGCAGAGGAGTATAAAAGATATTACGAAACCTGTGGGTGCCGTTGGTGCTCCTTGCCTTCCAGGATGGGGACTGCGTGATCCCCACTGCTCCCGGTTGGAGACGCTGCAAGATGTGGCTGCTGATCGATGTTAATCGCGCTCTTGTTTCCATTTTCTATCCAGGTTGCCTCGGAATGATTGTGGTGGACTCGCACTAAGTCCCTTCCATATCCACCCTTATTATTTTCTTCACAATAAGGATTTCACATAAATCATGGCTGTATGGCAGTGGAGCACCAATGTTAAACACTGACGTCATGTGGATCACCATGAGGTTAACTAATCCTTGGCGTTTCCCATATTTGCTAATTTTTAAAATAAAATGGAACAGGTCAATATCGCTCGCCGCAACGATCACTGAACAGTATCCGAGGGATAGCTGACATTCCATTGATTCCTAATGCACCTGCCTAATACGGAGCACTATGCTCCACTCGGACCCCGCTTGTGCATATCGTAATTGCACTGTAGTTTGTTTCATCGCTTGGCGTTCCTTTGTTGTACCGTCTAAAGCTGCGGTGTCCAGACAACCATATCAATTGTGTAGTGAAATTAGTCCACAGCATAAATGAGATATGCGAAACTATTTAGTCCCACAAAGACTAGGTCGTAATGCTTCTCTCCTTTACTTGTACCGAATAAGTCCCTATTCTTGGTCTACCAATCGGCACATTGCCCCTTTCTATTATTGAGGGCCCAAAAGCGGTACCCAGGCCTCTGTGTTTCCTTCAGCCAAGATGCTTAGCGTCGTAGAGAATTTCGCTGATTCGGCCAACTTGGAACAATCCTTGTTAGGATCTACTGCACTGTTGTCTATGGCCTAACTGATGCGTACTTTTGCAGTGCAACAGATCAGAAACTATTATCCAATGTCTGACTTATGCTGTTTTTCTTCTTTTAGGGTGCACCCGAATCGATACTTGACCGTTGCACGCAAGTCCGCACTCCAAATGGTCGTGTACTACTCACACCCGAATTGAAGGATGAAATATTGCGAAAGCTAGCAACGTATGCCACAGGTCGAGAGACCCTTCGATGTTTGGCCTTGGCTAGTAGGGATGATCCACCTGAATTGTCACAATTCAACCTCACTGATCCCACAAACTTCAAGGAGTATGAGGTTTGTTCCATTGAAGTGTAATCTCACCATGCACGCTGCTGTACATAGGGAGTTTATATATTTATATATATATATATATATATATCCCCAACCTTGCGAATTAAAGCTGGTCGTGAATGTTCAGAGCAAGGGTTTTGTACTCTAAGCCTGTTTTTGTATCCCTGTATATTTTTTTGTCGAACTTTGTACCATCCCTTTACCATTCGGTAAAGTCTAGCAAGCAGGCCCCATTTTCATACGCCTCCACTATGATCCTAATGTGCCAAATTTTTTTGATTCTAGTCCAATATTCTGGTGCGAATGAATAGTGAATTTACTTTACTGAATCACTTATTTCGCATCTGCTGTCCCGAAAGACTGGTGCGCGTGACTCCAATGGATAAACTTCTCATTCCAATATTCTGGTGGCCCCGAATAGTGAATTTACTTTACTGAATCACTTATTTCGCATCTGCTGTCCCGAAAGACTGGTGCGCGTGACTCCAATGGATACATGAACTTCTCATAGTTCCTACTGTAGCTGGGACGTCAGGAAGTCAGAGGTATTCGACGTTCAAGAGGATGTAGTGACGGCACGTCGGTTCTGAAATGCTCAGATATAGAGATTGGTATTACTGAATTCACACGGCACACGCAGCACACATTCACACAGGTCGGGTGACACAGGGAAGAAGACCGGAGCGTGGCAACAACACGTGTATTCAACCGAAAGCGGAAGTCGGGGGTACAAAGCTGGGTCAAGGTCAATCAGGGGGGTGTACAATCAGGCTACTCTTTCTTGTCGGAGGTACCTGCCCTCTCCTGGTACCTGCAATAGGGAGAGAGAGAGGCGCATATCAAGTCACATGATAAACGTGCAAGCAGATACAGTCGAGTTCCAACTGCGTTACACTATTCCTCTCCTTGTCAGCGGAGAGAAATAAAAGCCAGCTTCGAAACCCTCCATACACGTTACATCTTGTGTTCCATCTAGCCCTGATCTTTCACATTAGGAAGTTCAACTACCTTCCATACAGTACCTCTAAAATGGGAAATCGAAGTGTCGCAAACGTACAGCCTGTCCTGGAACATCAACTTTATGTCGAATCACCTGCAGGTTTTCACATTGTGGGATTTTTATCAGATCACTTTCGATGGACAAACCACTCCACTTCAAGGATCCATGTTTCCGGTGTCAGAATATTGCTTACAAAAGAGAAGTAATGTCTGAGGAGGCATTCCAAGATGTGATGCCTTTGAGGCGTTCATGAGGATCTTAAGAAGTTGAAAATGTACACACTAGCTCCATGTAGATTGTCGAATTTCCGAACTAATTCACCTTTTAGTTTGAAACAAGAACTAGAGGTAGTCCACTAGTTAAAGCGCGAACTTGCTAAGTGGATGGTCCGTGGTTCGCACTCAACCTCTGCATTTTGGCTACTTTTGTATAGGCTTGCGCGACCTGGCAAGATCTCAGCCTTCGTGCTTTCTTTGGATAGAATGGCAGCTAGGCCCCGAAAGGTGTTACACCTGAACGATTTTTGTATTATTTAAAACAAAGGGGCCACCTCAGTGGAATTCAGATCTTGTATACGACCTTGTTTGGATTAGTTATTCTGCTGATATTTATTTCCACCCATAACCTGTCTTTGTTGCGCCGCCTGTCAAGCGCGAGTGAATAGCACATGAGGTCTAGTTTTCTGAAATCAACTCCAGCTGTCTTTTTGGTTGTCCTTACTCTCATGTGGCTTGATTTTTGTGGGACGTACTAGGTTCGTAATTCCACCGTAGTCTGCACAAGTAGACGTCAATCCTTGTCCGTCGCTTTTGTGAATACTACTTTTTGACCGTGTCTGGAAAATCAGTTGTCCTTAGGTCCCGTATGTGGGGCGTTTCCCCTCAAACGCCCAGCACAGTTAATCGAGTTGTTACTGTTTCTTTTAACGCAACAACATTGGTGCGGTTAGCATTTCCTGACAAGTGTGGGTCTGTCTAACCTTATAAACACTAGTTTCTGCACATGCCTATTTCGGCGAGGTAGCTGTCTTTTTTACACTCATCTGTTGACTTCAATTCATGTCTACCCATCTTAGACCGGTCTCACGTTGGTTGGAGTTGTCGGTATGTTAGACCCGCCTCGATGCGAAGTTGCCGATAGCATCCGTGCCTGTGCCAACGCTGGTATCCGTGTCATCGTCATCACTGGTGACAACAAGGCCACGGCAGAGGCGATTTGTCGTCGAATCGGGCTGTTCGGGGAGAAGGAAGACACGCGTGGAAAGGCATTCACCGGTCGCGAATTTGATATGCTTTCGTTAACAGAAAAGCGTGAGGCAGTAAGGAGGGCTAAATTGTTCGCTCGTGTAGAGCCAGCACACAAAAGTGAAATTGTGCAATATCTTCAGGAGGATGGAGAGATTTCAGCTATGGTACGTTGTATTTGTATATTATCGGTCTGTCTTCATTCGGTTATTCGTAACATTTTGATCATGTTGAACCTGGTATATTTTCAGACTGGCGATGGTGTCAACGATGCACCCGCACTGAAAAAGGCCGAAATTGGCATTGCTATGGGCAGTGGGACAGCAGTGGCGAAATCCGCCTCTGATATGGTCTTGGCCGATGACAACTTCAGCACCATCGTGGCTGCAGTCGAGGAAGGTCGAGCGATTTACAACAACATGAAACAATTTATCCGTTACCTCATCTCTTCCAATATCGGCGAGGGTAAGTATCCGCTAACTCTCCATAGATTCTGTTAGGTCTACCCTGAATTTGGTTTAAAGGTGAATGGCTGGCTTGTTCCGCATGTAATCACCGAGTAGCCGCGGGTATCCCGACTCTAATTTATTGCGGTTCGGTTTTGTAGAATCCCGCTCCATGCGCGGTGTGCTTGTCCACTCTTGATATCTTCTAACGGTAACTACATAGATTATAACTCAAGCGAATATGGAGTTTTTTGGGAATATGAAACAAATTACATTCGGAGAATCATCCGTTCCGTTGCATCCCTAGCCTATGCACGACCAGGTTTAACTATTTACACAGGGAGAACAGGTCATTGCACCCAGCTGATCTCATCCGCCAAACCATTAGAAACTGTTTTCGTGTAACCGTCGTCGGCTGCCATCGAGAGTTTTGTCCTCTTGGTTACCATCACCTGGTTCAGCCCGTCTCTCACATGGTGTAGCGGGTTGTGATAGCTGTCCAAGCGTCACCTTATTAGAGCCACAGTCGAGCGTGGTGTCAGATACGAACTCAAAAGTGTTGAATCTTCTCCCGAATCGGAAAGGCCGGAGCAGCGTTTACCAACCTCCGACATTCTTGGTACCTATGCGACGTCAGTTTGGCTGCCCGTGGGAAGTGTCCATATCAAACATGACCCTGTCACGGAGCCACTCGCTGTGTTATCTGGAAACTGTTGTCTTCGGTGCGTTGTCCTCACATATTGCTTTATCACACACATTACGTTCAATGGAGTGATTGGACCATCGCCCCCGACGCGTGGCTATCAGTTCCGCATTCTCCTTATCCTCAGTGAACTATATTGTGACCGCTACCTTGACACACCGTCCGTAGCTGCGTACCACCATACCATGGTGTCCTGTCCAATTCGAACAGAAAGCAACATGCCCGTTCACTTTCCTTTACGGTGACTGCATCCTGTGACAGGATGAAGTGGCCTCATAAATGCCACGTACTGTCTCTGTCCACAAATTTAAGGTCAGAGTCCAGGTAAGCAAAGGTTGAAATCTTATGCCGATTCCCAAACTGGTTACTGTTTACTGCGCTGAGGCCGAAGCGCTCTGGATCACTCTTGACGGTTACTGATCCAAGTTTTCGGCTGTTCTCCTAGACAGCAAAATCACCCCAGCTGTGTCGGAGAAGGAAGTGCAAGTTGACAAAGTTCAACTTCAGATTTTCGGGGAAGTCTTCGCTGCTACAGAAGTTGGCTAACACGTGGGATGCTAAAGTTAGGTTCTCTAACCGCCGAGTTGGATGTTTTCGCAGCCGTCAAATTCTTAGAATGCACCCTAGCTTCAGGAAAATTGAGCGTGTGAAATCGCCAAACAAACGGCTGTTTGATCCATTTTCCCTGTCCCAAAACTGTTTACAAAAAACAGTATTACCTAGTTGATTTGCGTCATCCACATCACTGGCTGTAACATCAAACCCTGTCCCGGTAACTTATTATGAAAAGAAGAAATTGGGATAACGAAGGATGTCTAGAGCTAACCCGTCACGAACATCCGACGTGCTCACATCTTGAGTCCAACTAGATCCACGCTGAGTTTCATTAGACATATTTTTTAAAGCCTAATCTACTTTATGGAGTTACACCCTTATTTGCTGGACTAAAGCCTGGTAACTTCTGTGACCCTATTTAGCCTATGTTTCGAGGCAACTAGTGGTTCTCTTTTTTTGCGAAAAAGTCCTTCATTCACTTCATTTCAACCGTGTTCCGGAGTGTCCATATGTATTTCTTTTTAGTGGTTTCCATCTTCTTGACTGCCGCTCTTGGCATGCCGGAGGCACTGATTCCCGTCCAGCTTCTGTGGGTGAACCTCGTAACTGATGGTCTGCCGGCTACTGCGTTGGGATTCAACCCACCGGACTTGGATATCATGCAGAAACCACCTAGGAATAGCAAGGAGCCACTGATTTCAGGCTGGTTGTTCCTTCGATACATGGCCATCGGGTGTTATGTGGGTGTGGCGACTGTTGGTTCGGCCGCTTGGTGGTTCATGAAATACTCGGGCGGACCACGAATGACCTATTATCAACTGGTAGGCTTCCTGTGTATCTGCTTTTTCCATAGTCACTTGTTTCCTCCTTCATCTCCATTTATCGGAGTTGTTTCCTGTATGTCCTCTGGATTTGCCTGTTGACTCCACAGGCACAGCACTTACAAATAATCTGGTCTGAATTATGGGGCGGTGAAAATCTATGGAATCACCTCAGTATATTAATGCGGCTTTTGTTCGTTTTCTCTGTTGCTGTCTTTTTTTGGATCCCTGCTGTCCACTTATCATTGGTTGTATGAGAGAAGCGTATGGTTCAGAAGGCTGTAGCTTCCCTCTGGAGACGGCAGTCAAAAGCGCCAGAAACTGCGATCCGTCCACGTGATCGATAGTGCTTCTGTTGTCCCTGAACGTCTTTTCCTAGCAAAATATTTGACCTTCCCATCTTGAGCATATAATCATTTCACCGGCCCCATATGCACCGGAATGCCACGGGTGATCGATTTGCCTGAGTTTGTGATGATGTCCACCCAATATCTGCTGGATGCTTTGGAGAGCGACACACTACATGTGCGCTTTGTACTACTACCGCGTGTTTTTAGCTTAGTTATCGTTGCCGCTGGACACGACGTGATTGTGCTTTGACATCAACGGTTAGAGACATTGTCAGACATGGCGCAGTCGCGCCCTCAGTGGCGCTCATGTATCCAAGATGGTGTTTTCTATGCATAGCTCTCCCAGTCTTCCCAATCAAAAAGTCCACTGGCAACCCTGTATTTACGCATCTATTACGTCAGCTCCCGCCTCCAGCGTGTAGCCCATCTCGTTAAATCATCGATGAACGAATGTGTGGTAGCTGTAATCACTGTGCTGCAAGTGGGTGGTTTCCACAGCTAATGATGACGCGCACTACCTAACATTGTATTATCTTTTACTCCGGAATCGTATTTACTAGATCTAAGGTTCCATGTTTGTGCACTTGTGAAGGCAGTCGTACCTGGAGGACTTGCTAGCTCCAGTCCAAAGATCCCGAATGTCCTCAACTATTCGAGTACCGATGCTTTCGTAACATAACCCATCTTATCCGTATCGTGTCTGTAATCAACTGGTCCGCAAGAGCTTGATCGCCTCTGGTAACCCCCGCTAAGTTGGGGTGGTTGGGCTACCTGCTACGACTTCCAATCACAGTCCGTCGAAGAAAGCTCCGTCTTTCACCTGTTGTCATATGGCGAGGTAGACTATCGCGTGAATAAATGAAAAACAGAGGTTTGTAGCGAGCTGGGAATGATGGGAGCCTCCTAGTTTGTTGGAATTCAGTTGCTTCTTTCGCATGGCTGGAAGCTCCAGAGTATATAGCACACAACTTATCGCGGTGTCACAACTTAACCATCATCTATTCTGTACCGTGCTCGCTCTGAATGAGGTTCACAAAAATACTGAGTATGTCTTGCCACTGCTCAGGTATATTTATTGTCCAAAAGTGTAACTACTTTCAGACCTTTTGACTGTTTTCTTTGGGGAACTAAGGCTTTTTGCATCAACTCCTCACCTTTCCATTATTTACTAGGGCCTCAGTTCATCGACGTTCCTATATCTTTCGTAAGACGCCAGTTTAACCACATATTTTGCTGAACAAACGGTGTGTGTGTTTTACATTACATTTCCTTGTCATGATAAAGCTGCCCCCTGATCGCAGATGAGGTGTGTGTGGTCGTCTCCTTTTTTGTTTGAATCTGGACCGGTACTAAATTCTGGGATTTCGTACTGTTGTAAATTTGTCGGGTAAATATCTTATCTATCTGCGTGCACCTGTTACGAAGGCGAACCTGTTCTGTGGTTCCGATAATGCTAAACGGCTTTCCGTATTCTTTGGGTTTTTTATTGTCCGTTAGGAAAGACCAAACTATCAGTAAACAGCCTCCATTTGGTGGATTGCTAGTTAGCAGTGGACGATGTTTTCTGAAGGCCTTTGTTTTACCTTCTCCTGGTGTTTCTGGGGCTCTCCACGGGCTCCTGTTTGTCTGCTGTGAATTAACGACGTCAGCGCTAATAGTTACTCCATAGGAACCAAATGTCAGCTTGGCTGGTTGTAAACGCACCCCCGTTGTTTTATTTTGCTTCTGTTTAACGGCGCTCTCCCCATGTGGCTGTGTACGGCACTCACAGGTGTTGCCAGTGACGACCACGGCACTGATACGACTGAATTCACTTGGCACTCCGGGGTCATTCAAATTATATTTTTCGGGGTTCCAGTAACCCAGCAACCTTGTTTTACGTTAATTTAGGTTAACCGCATGATATGTCATTTGGACAACTTGGTCCAAGAATCAGGACAGTCGGAAGTTAGGAGCCTGCGGACCATTTTACAGGGTCGATAATCACTGCTTCATGGATATGTCAGGGGTACAAGCACGGTGTATAATTCCTTAGAGCTTTACGGCAGTAATACATCGGAATGATGTCACAACATGTATAAACATTATATATATATATATATATATATATATATATATACTGAATCGTGCACAGTCGCCTTGGCCGTGCAATGATCCATCCGAAGCTTATTACTGTTAATAAGAGTTCAGTGGTCATTGAAATGTCTACTGTAGTAACGAGCAATAAATCTTATTCGGTTACATTTTTTCTATAAGGAACCACTTTCCTGGGTCTTAATGAGTTTGCTCTAGGGAGACACTAATAAATAGAGTCACATCATTGCTCAAACTCGAACAGGTGCGTGAATTGATGCTGTGGTAGATCCGTTTTGCTTACAACGAAGAGCGACTTGTCTCATGTTCAGATGCGTTCAGTGGTCACTGACCTCGATGGCAGCTGGTTCCACTTATCCAGCCGGCTCGATTCTACTCGTTTTCCGGTCACATGTAATTCACACGATGCAATTTGACTTACACTGAGGTTGGTTGACAGGATGTGGAACTAAACCATGGTGCGTATCTTGTCGGCAAACGAATTAAACATGATTCGTTCTTGTGCCTGCATTTAACTGCTACTTTATTTTGCTTTCATGAAGACGATAAGTACAGTGTTGTCTGGTCCACTTGGATTGCTGTCCGCTTCACTGTTGATGGCATGTCCTTACATCCTCCTCTGTCATTGTTTCTCCCACCCACTTCAGACGCATCATCTGCAATGTACCCTGGAGCCATCTGCTTTCGTTGGAGTCCCGTGCTCTGTGTTCAGTAGCCCGAAACCCATGACAATGGCCTTGTCTGTCCTGGTTTTGATCGAAATGTTCAATGCGCTAAATAGGTGAGGTTATATCCTGTGTCTTCTTCATTATGGTTTGTTGTGGGCGTTGTTGATACGACCGTGGCTTGTTTACCGTCCGACCAAATCACCATTCCGCTGCTTGTTTCATTGTACTTCCACTTACAATACCAACACTGCATGTGTTTTACCAGTACAAATTCCTTGTTATGGCCGTCAAATTTCAGTAGTTCTATCAACTGAACTCCTACACAAATGCACGCACTTGAGCGAACACCGATCGTTCCACCCAGTTCGCTTCCCAAATGTAAGTTTAGCCAATATCACTATCTTCGAAATGACGGCATTGTTGCGTGAAAGCGGAAACCTAACAGTCACACCATTCGCTGAATATCGTAAGATCTGTTCGCGTTACCAGGGATTTTTCACTTCGGGAAGTGTCTCGTCCATCAATTTATGAAGTATTCTGAGTTGCCGATGTGTCTATCCGCGGTGTTGAACTGGGTTCTTATCTGTGCAGATAGTTGCACCGAACCTGGGTAATCGTTGTCCGTGGTATTTGTAGATTCAGATTGTCTTTTCGGGGGAGGAGGCAACCCACTAAGGGAAACGACGAGTTAGCGTGCCTAGGATAAACCCGGGGAATTTTTTTTTCAAATTTAAGCTCAATTACGAAGTGTCAGTTTGATAATACAGGTTACCCTGGCCGGATAGTCCAATTGGTTAGAGCGCGAATTTACTGACCGGAAGGTCCGTGGTTCGAACCCGACCTCTGCCTCTCGACTTCCCCTGTCTAGGCTTGCGTGACCTGGCAGTATCCCAGCCCTCGTGCTTCCTTCGTGTGACATGGCAGCTAGGCACCGAAAGGGTGCTACCGCTGAACGATTATTATTATTTTTATTATTACCCTGGCCGGAACACAAAGTAGGTTCACGGGGACCCTCCATTGGAGCACGAGAGTGATTCTCGTTCATTCATCGGGTTCTTTCAACTTCGTGAATCCTGTTCTATCATAGAGCGACGCCAATTGTTTGGCTCAGGCAGATAAGCCCGAATAGCTAAACGGTTAGGGCGCGAACCTACTGGCCGGACTGTCTATTGTTCGAACCCATCCCCAACATTTCAACTGCTCGCGTCTATTCCTGGGCAACCTGGCAGTATCACAGCCCTCGTGCTTCCTTAGGGCGGCATGACAGCTAGACATCGAAAAGTGTTGTAGCTGAACTATTTTTCTCATTATCAAGCACATCACTGTAATAGCGGTCAACTGGCAAAGTTCACTGAAACCTGTATAGTGTTCATCGATTTTCATCCGTGTAGACCGGTGCAACAAATTGTTTGTTTGTCAGCTCCGAACTAACCGCTTGATTGATATCATTAGTACGCGTCCGTGTTTTGCTCTCCGTTCACCCAGCAAAGTTGTTCATGCAGTTTTTTTCACTTGCGCGTCGACTGTAGATATCTAGTTTCCTGACAAAGCGAAGATGCGAATACTTGTCGCACTGTTTTGTGCTGTTTTTTTTCCCGAAGACTCGAATTTGATGTGTGGTTACTTGTTACTAGGACTAAACTCTTTCGTTCCTTTTTCTCTCTCTCTAGTCTGTCGGAAAATCAGTCGCTGGTATCCATGCCTCCGTGGCGAAACGTTTGGCTGGTTATCGCAATTTCTTTCAGCATGTTCCTCCACTTCGCAATCTTGTACATTGATGTGTTTGCAGTAAGTGTCCCTCCATCTGTACCTCCCCCTGTCCCGCCATCATATTTGAATTTGAGTTGATTATCATACTTTTCACCTACCTGTAGTCAAAGTCAATTCAATCAGCTTTACCTTTGTTTTTTTTAATTTCCTTACGACTTACCGTGCCCGAGGATTTGTTCGCCTGGCAACAGCTTCGCATCTTGATTGCTGACCTGAATCTAGTTGAAAGACATTACACAGGTGCACGTGCATTACGCGAACAAATTGATTTTCTCTACCCACTCGCATGTATCAATATAGCGCATTTCGTGCACGCTCGAAACCATTTGGGGTCTTTAGGTGAGCAGTAGAATTGCTCTACGGTGCACGTAACTTTGTAACAACATCAGGTTATCATCACTAACAGCCATACACCTGTGATATATATTGGCACTTAACTGCCACTCAGATAGCCCCAGGAAAGAGTAAAAGAAAAAGGAATGTTCCTCTGGAGGAACTGATCAAGACTGAGTTGCCTGCACCTCTGAATATCACCTCGTCATCATCAGCTGTAACAACCGCCTACTTTCCGTACAGTGGTTATAACTGCCACAGTTTATTTAGTCGATAATTTAAGGAGGTGGGATAGGTAGCTACGCAGTACAGCAGTAGCTACAGGGGTGTCAATGGACTTTACACCAGGAGAGCTATGTATTGAAGGTAACAGCTTGAACGCCTGAGCGCCATTGAGGGCGCAACTGGGCCATGTCTGAACACTTGAAAGGAACACATTGGAGCGTCACAACAGAGTAATACCGTTTTTAAGCCGGATGGATTTCAGACTAATTAATGGATGTACAATAATGTTCCTCTGCTTGTCTCCCTCCCCCATCAACAGAAGATCTTCCAGATCTCGGCGCTCAATCTGGCCGAGTGGTCTGCAGTGGTGAAAATATCGCTTCCGGTTCTGTTGTTGGACGAGACACAGAAGGCCATCGCGCGGTGCGTGTCCGAACGCAAGAATCCACTCAGTCAACTTCCTGCACTATCTGCAATGTGGCTAGGCTATGCTCTGTTGTTGTACCGCTTCCCACTGTGATTTGTGTGTATGTTTCTTTCAGAATAGACATCTGCACATGTATACAGTTTGTCGCACCAACCAAGTACCGACAGCTGCTTGGAACCAGCTGCTATCTGTGTGCATTATTTCATTGTTCTTCTCTTTACCCAACGAAACTTCATCCACATGCATCTGCTTTCCAAACCACCGTTTCAGTTCAGCAGATTAGGTATGCGGCGAACCCCTTCTGAACAGTATGAAGTAAGCATCACGTGACCCTCAACGGCCTCTCTGGCCTGTTGTACATCAACCTCTAAACTTTGTGTCACCCTCGTGTACCTATCGAATCTATCCTATGCTTGTCTCACTATTTAGTTATGCGATCTCTCTGCAACTGGCCCTTTCCAGACTTCTACGTTCAGTCAGATTGCTCATGCTCTCCCTAATACACCCATCCAGCCATCATTCCCACGTGTCTCCCTTTTATCCTGTTGGTTTTCATCTGTATTTCACTGCTTTATGATGTACTACTATTCTGTTGTGGTAAATATGTACTGATCTCTTCTCCAACGGTGGATACCACGGGCTCACTGAGTCAGGATTGCCAATTCCCGTCGCCAGAATTTTGTAACTTTTGGAAATCTATCAGCGATGTAGTGAGGAACAAACGGAAGATTCTATCGCCTGTTGTCTCATTGATCTGTCTGTCTACACACGAGTAGGATTAAGAAAACACAACCCATGTGTGTGCAAACAGGCGGTCCGTCGCAGCATAATGAGCTGAATAATAATAATAATAATAATACTGCAGCTGTAATACCTTTTCTGTATCTGGCTGCGATGCAGCCCGGAGGAAGCATGAGGGCTGAGATACTGCCAGGTTGCCCAAGCCTAGACATGAGAGTGTACACAAGTTCCACCACCTTGTTGTGGCGTGAGCAGGGATAACGGATATGGTTCGGGTCGTTGACTGAGGGGTGACAGCAACGCCATTCTGACTGCGCGTCGTCAACTCTTCACTGGGGTCAAGTATATATATATATATATAAATTTTAAAAATTGGTTCAGCTGCAGCAACCTTCCGGTGCCTAACTGCCATGCCACCCGAAGTTTGCACGAGGATGTGGTACTGCCAGGTTGCCCAAGCCTAGACGGGAAGTCGAGAGGCAGAAGGCGGGTTCGAACCACGGGCCTTTCGATCAGTAATTTCGCGCTCTAACCACTTCGGCCGTCTCGCCCCCCAAGCATATATATATTAAATATATATGAGTATAAATAATTACAGTCGTAACCATTAACCTGATCCGCAGCAAATCGTCAGGTCCATGGTCTGGAGTTATTCGGTACGCCGAAATAGTGACCCTGACCATGATAATCGATCAAGAACTTGTCTCTCGGGGCACTCCTGCGATCTATAAGCAGTGTGTGTTGAGGAGTGCGGTGTGAGGAGATTTGGTGTTGAGAAGTGCTTTAAGGCTGTATTATCCTTATCGTAAATCAGAACTGTGGACCTCCAAGGAGTTTCGAAACCGCGACCAGTGGTTTGAACATGTAACTGTTCGACCAAGAGCGACTGATAACACTGTCCTTAACTCGCATTTAATTAAATATATATGAGTATAAATAATTACAGTCGTAACCATTAACCTGATCCGCAGCAAATCGTCAGGTCCATGGTCTGGAGTTATTCGGTACGCCGAAATAGTGACCCTGACCATGATAATCGATCAAGAACTTGTCTCTCGGGGCACTCCTGCGATCTATAAGCAGTGTGTGTTGAGGAGTGCGGTGTGAGGAGATTTGGTGTTGAGAAGTGTTTTAAGGCTGTATTATCCTTATCGTAAATCAGAACTGTGGACCTCCAAGGAGTTTCGAACCCGCGACCAGTGGTTTGAACATGTAACTGTTCGACCAAGAGCGACTGATAACACTGTCCTTACTTAACTCGCAGACAGGATATCGCGCCACTCACCTTTCACTCACGGAAACCACATCGCGTGGTCCCACTGACTGACCTCTGCAAGCTTCCATCCTCTTGTGAAATTCCTCTGAGCCACTTCCAGACTGGTGGTAATGTGAGGAGATTTGGTGGGATGGGCACTACTGATGATTCCCAGTAGGATGAAACAACTGTACAGTGCCTCGCGTTGCTAGCGTAGGTTGGATCCACTTACAAGACGAGTTCTCAATGGAAAAGGGAAATCCTCAATCACTAGGGGTATGCTCGCAGTCACTGATAATTGAAGACGTAGGAAGTACAGCCGTAAACTGATAGAACCTTGAATCTGAAATAATCGTACCAGGTATTTACGTTGGCCTCGTCTCGTAAAGTAGCGCACTAGCTCGAGATGATAACCTGTGTTTGTGTTGCGAAAGTGTTAGAATGCCGTGGCAATAGTGTTGACGCTGATTCACAGAACCACGTTTCTTCCAGATCCGTGCGACTGTCCACGGTCCTCTATCAGTTTGTCACACACTTCAGCTGCCTATTTTTCAAGTCAGATGAGGATTGCCTGGTCACCTTTTGTCTATTGTTGACATAAATCCACGATGTACTTGATGTGAGTACGTATAAAATACGGCTGCAATATCTAGGTGTTCGCTATACTCGGGAGTCAGTCGACGGAACAGGCCAGTGCGGGAACGGATGCCTGCCCACCACGCCCAAGTGAGCTTCGCATCAGACGTTTATACAGAAAGTTCCACCAGACTGTGATGTCACTAAGCCGGACGTCAAAAGTCGCGTACGTCAGCATCAAGCCGATCACATGTTGCATGTAGACGCCTCATTCATTGGGTAAATGTGACTGACACCAAGCTATGGAAGAGCATTTCATAAACGCGGTTTTTCGTTTGTATTGGCGAAAAGTTGTATCGTGGGTGACCGTCGATGGGTTACGCCTGAACTGAGCTTGTCAGACTACGTGATAAAGAGAAGACAGAAAACCTGGAGCACGGCTGTATTGTCAGGATACCATAAGCAGCTTCTGCGGAAATATATAGCATGACTAGGTGGCCAAGTATGATCATTCGCTTCTTCTTTCTGTCCAGTCATGAACATTTTCAAACCAACTCCACTGGTCGCATGCTCCTAAGTCGTGTTTGCTGAGCTGAACCAACACATCCGGAACGTGTGGCACCGATGGTGACCTTGGGGATGCGTCATTCGCTGGACATGCACTTTTCGTGTCTGGACGCTTCCTGACAGAAGACCATAATACAAGAAGACTATTGTAGCATGTTACACGGACTCAGTCCACATTGCGGTCTCTGCATCCTTGTCAGGTTGCAAACCCTTACTTTTGTCGGCGGCAGAGTTTATACAGAAAGTTCCACCAGACTGTGATGTCATTAAGCCGGACGTCAAAAGTCGCGTACGTCAGCATCAAGCCGATCACATGTTGCATGTAGACGCCTCATTCATTGGGTAAATGTGACACCAAGCTATGGAAGAGCATTTCAGAAACGCGGTTTTTCGTTTGTATTGGCGAAAAGTTGTATCGTGGGTGACCGTCGATGGGTTACGCCTGAACTGAGCTTGTCAGACTACGTGATAAAGAGAAGACAGAAAACCTGGAGCACGGCTGTATTGTCAGGATACCATAAACAGCTTCTGCGGAAATATATAGCATGACTAGGTGGCCAAGTATGATCATTCGCTTCTTCTTTCTGTCCAGTCATGAACATTTTCAAACCAACTCCACTGGTCGCATGCTCCTAAGTCGTGTTTGCTGAGCTGAACCAACACATCCGGAACGTGTGGCACCGATGGTGACCTTGGGGATGCGTCATTCGCTGGACATGTACTTTTCGTGTCTGGACGCTTCCTGACAGAAGACCATAATACAAGAAGACTATTGTAGCATGTTACACGGACTCAGTCCACATTGCGGTCTCTGCATCCTTGTCAGGTTGCAAACCCTTACTTTTGTCGGCGGCAGAATTGGGACTTCTTCAGTTCTTTGAAAATTAGCTTCTCAGAACTGCAGGCCATGTGCGCTGGTCGCTCACCGAAGTCAATAATACTCATTCTGTCGGTTTCTATACGATCTTTTCGAGTGTGTATATTAATAGTTCTGGTTTGGTGGGATGAAATCACCCGTTTTTATACTTTATAAAAAGGACCTTAGTGACCTTGGGGCAGTAAATAATGAGTGCCAACAGTGGCTTTGATTCTCATTAGCATAGTTGTCATTATTCTTACTATTTTATACTTATTGATGATGCACTAGCTCTGAAACCAACGGCGTGTGGCTTACGTTACCACGCTAAATTTACAGCAAGATATGGTCACATCGAAATGCATCACATCGCACCATGATCACTGCTCATCACAGAGACCTAGCGAGCTACGTCAGATGACGCTTCGGTTGCTGGTATCCATTGTTAACTGAATCCTACATACTGACCATGAAGAGTTATGAACGTTTGCACAAATGCCGTCAACTAGCAGATTGTCCTGAAAGCACCTGTCCTTGAACGATCCACCTGCATTTGTTAGTTATGTCATAACCCGCCTACCTGGTGTGCTTTTTCAGACCATTCCTAATAAGTCAACAGGATCAGTTTAAATAATCAGTTTCGGCCTTCTAAACACATGACCTAGCTGGGGTAACCGACGCAGCTCTACTGACCCAAACGCAGCCAGACTCCTGTCCGTTATCTTTTCAAAATATTAGAACGACAGACAGAAGCCTCCATCCCTCTGATTCGCTGTAGAGTTTCTACCTCAACCGGGCTTCCACCTTTACCCTCATTGCTTGATAATGAGAGATAAAAAAGGAATCAAGACGGGATTTCTTATTTTTCTCCGAAAGCTTTTTCAGACTGAATCCTTCAGTCTTGGAATTTGAGCGTCCGACATGTGATTCTAGAATTTCAACACCGTCGAAATAATCGCACCGATCCTCCAGGTGTTCTGCCCACTACATTGGTTTGGAAATGTTTTATAGGCATCCATCATAGACCGCGAAAATTTCGCTGACCTTCACAATCTTGTTTAATCCAAAGCTATTTTCGCATGTCGGTCTTTTATTTATTTTCCAACTTTTGATCAAGTGTTGTTTTAGTCAACTGATTTTCCTACATTCCATCAACAGATTCAAAAATGAGGTGAAAATGATTTATCACCGCAATTCATGATCCTGGACTCTTTTGTGTTTCAGGACGAAGCAATCGACAGGTCTGGAAACACTCACTCCTAAACTCTTTGAAGAATCGATCAACAACAATAACATAACGACTTCATACTATAAATGTATCCATTTCCGAGCTCTGTAGAACGATCCAGTCAGCAAGGTGTTCGCGTATGAAGCAAACAGTTTACCTTGCTTGCTTCGAAACCCGCCATTTCGTTAATGTAGCGTAATCGACAATCGACTTTGAATTTCACTATTATTTTATCGATTACTTGCCACAGGCCACCATTCACACTGGCCCTAATTTGTATGAACGAGTGACCTTTGTGCAGCAAATTCGGCTTTCGAGACGTCACAAGCTGGAGATTCACCTAAGTTTCCGTTTTTCAACACCAATTTTTGAGTGAGTATTTTGCTCCAAACTAGGTAAAAGTACTCCAGAGTACTTGATCAATTTTAACAAGAAACCAGGTTCAAGTGCGGTCTAACTCACTATTGGATAGCATTTAGAAGAAGCTACCGAGTTTTCTTCAAATAACGGCTTTGATAATTGAAATTCAACACCTGGTGTACATTAGGAAGGATAGGTGCGAAATCTACGTGAGTCGGGTATAGGTTGTAAGGTTACTTCACACCCACACTCGCCTACAAGACACATCTGGGCCGCACCTTTACAAGTTTACCCATCTCTGTGATTAACTGAGGCCAAAAGCATCGAGCTGATACAAACAGCTCTCAACCTCCGTCTATCCGCTAAATCTAACTCAAATAAAAGTTATTCAGCTTTCTTACTCAAGGTAAACGATGACCGTACTGGTGAAAAAACGACAGAAGTTACGGGGAAACCGAAGAAGTCAAATGGAGTCATCTAACGCGGAACGGTTAGCTAACAGTCATTATCATCATCCTCATTTGCAGCACAACATTAGTGATCACCGCAGATGCTTCACTGCCATATGTCTTCTTAGTTGTAAGTGTCGTGGTTGTATGTGGGCTGGGGGGTACTGCATGGGTGACCAGACCTAGATAGGAGAGTGATTAGGATACTCAACCAAAGCCTTCGGCTCAGAATCCTGACGGCAAGGCAGCGGTGTATGACGGGACGTACAGGTGTATTGCCATTTTTATAGAACAGGTCTTCGCACACGTTCCAGCCATCAACCTGTAGGACGAACAGGCTGTGTTGGTCAGCCCTGCAACCCGTGACCAAGGATTCCAAGGATTCTGCGAGGGTCGCGTAGACACCCCCAGCATAGCTAACTGGGTCACGGAGACACACAGTCTGTCACACCAGGGTAGATTCAGCCTCATCGTGACAGCTTAGCTAAGGTTAGACAAGGGACAACACTGCTCAACTGTTTGTACCCAAGACTGTTTAGAACAGAAGTTCATCCGAGTGATGTCGGCTTAGTTCAAAATGATGAAGCGACCGGAGGATGGAATGCGTTTACACTATGAACCCCGACTGGGCTTTCCGAATAATGCATTTTCATGCATTTTCAGCTATTTAGGGAGTCGGCACACCTCGGTCTAGTTCTGAGGAGTATCCAAGCAGTGGTCCAGGTCACACAAACGAACTGGGTTCAAGTTTTTAACCTTGGTGTTGTGCGGCTTTGTTGGATCGTCAGTAGTCAAACGTTACGATTGGCTCTGACCATTCTGAACTCGGATCTCTCCTTGTACCGTGAGTCTTCTGTCCAAGGTCGCTACACAAATCGTTCATACCACCGCATAATTCAGTAGGCGTTAGCACTGAGAAACATGCCCAGTAACAATGCTTGATTGTTGTAGTAGATTTTGTCTGCAACCCCGTTATATATTCAGTATAAAATGGCGCCGACAAATGTATGCCACATCATGAGATGAAGTTGACAGAGAAAGGAAGAAAGGGACGACTTCTGCTCACACAACCGAAACATGTAGTCCAAAAAATGGTCGACAACCTTGACGATTTGCTTTAGACTGTGTTTGGTTCCTTCGCTCGCCGAGTACATTGGAAACTTCGTTTACAGTCCTGGCCAGAAAGGAGGCTGTGAAACACGCTGAGACCCCTTGTCGGTTGGACTGGTTAGAATAGAATTTCTATCACATATGAGCAAGTTAGAAGTTGTCGCACCACTGACATGTGTGCAGTGAACGTGTGGATACAAGCAAGCAGAAGAAGGCGTTTGTCGTGAGCCAATAGAATTTAGAGAGGGACAAAAGAAGGCATATAAATGAAGTGGCGCTTATAAAAACTATGAGTGACACGTCAACAGTGTCCCAGGGGTCCAAACCACTGAGCGTGACGGATCAGGATCAGGTGTTATTGTTACTGCCTTTTGGGACGATGGAGACATTTTGGGAAGGTCAGATATGGAATCTTCTCGCAATGTTCATCCTTCATCACATCGTTTTTTTTTCAAAAAATAACATGGAATTGCAGCTTATCCGAATCCGTTTCGCAACCTATTTATCACACTTCCGATTCCAAAAGATTACCAACTTCCGATCGCATTCGATAAAAACATATTTCGAGAGATTGTATATTCACCATAATCACCGGGGCAAGAAGTATGCTTACGAAACGTCGCTAAAAATGGTCTGACCATATGACTACTTCAGGTTTTATTTAGCCCAAATCACGTGATTCATGTACAGACAAGCATGAAGTTGTTCACTGAATGGCTATATGCAGGGGCGGTAAACCACTCGTCTGGTGAAAAGTTCAACTGTTCGACTGTACTTTTATCCCAATTTCGGTAAAGTTCACGCCACCCGAACACGTTCAAAACATGGCAGCTCATCCACTGAGGTGTTCAACGACCACAACGTAAGCCACATTCCACCTTCTTAGATGAACCCATCTTACGCAAGCCTAAATAGCGGCTTCACGGTTTGCGGTGGTGAACCACACTTAAATGTCAAGTGCTCCTCAGTGATGGGAAAGTCGGAAGTGATTGGGAACAGTTGTCCATCGTTTTTAGGTTTCCCACATGAATTTCACTGAATACACAGAGGACTTTACTTGTGGGTGTTATTCTGAACAACAGTTAGAACAGTGCACAGGAAGCGATAGGAAATATTTTTCTCATTTTCTTCTGTCACAGATGTGCATTCCGAAAGAACTCGTTTTTTATGAGCAACCGGACAGCTCTTACGTTGCCGCTTTATTTACGTCAACCAAATTTTTCACTGACCGATGCGGTAATATTTACCCAGCGGAGCAGTGTCCAAATGGTATCAGGTCAACAAAACTGAGAAATGGATTTTTAATCAAGCCAATTTTTTGGTCGCTGAGCTGGGCCAATCCGAGCACAATTCAAAGATTCAATCAATAGGATCACTCAGTGGGACAACCAATCACAGTCGAAGGTCAACCTCAGAAGCATCAACACCACTAGTCAACATATACCCAAAAGCCCGGCTAGGTTTCCTCACAACCTATTGATGATGTCACCACAACTGATGATGACAGTGGGAAATAAAACTGCCAAGCTCAGCTAAAAAGCCGACCACCAACTGCGCAATCTGAGCTACAGCCAGATATGTACCGCTGATGTGTTCCAGTAACAACGAAACCGCTGCACAGCGCTTCTCCATATACAAGTAATACTGCTTGTACGGTAACAAGATTTTAATCTCGCTTATTGAAAAAGGGATATCATGTGAGGGTTGGCTTTGACGTAGGTCCCTTCCAAATCAAGAAGCCAATGATTCACAGCTAGAACAGGAAACGGAATTACAATCGTTCACCATTATTTAGTGTTAAATTTCTTCCAAAGAAAAACCATCCTTCGAGAGAGACCAAATAGCCCCTTCGCTCTGACGTCCCCTCCTCGGTTGGATGGATAAATCACCAGGTATTTCTACTTGGAGACTTTTTCAGTAAATATTGATTACTTTAGTAGTGGTTAATGAAACTGGCTTGCAATGAATTCTTGATAGTGCAGTCTTAATATATCTTTAAGCTGACGTTCGCTGTTTTTTGCATAACAATAAATGCTGGATTCCCCAGATTCAGACCATCCGAAATGAGTTTGACGAGCCAGGCAAAGATAGCTCATTGGTGCACTGACTTTGTTCGGCTTCATTCTGATCTTCATCAGACGCTATGGATAGTTTTCCGAACCCTACCGTTCAGTTTGGACTGAGGTAAAAGCCGCAAGAGAGCGGCATCCATTGTTCAATGCCATGTGGTTGCATACCTGCGGTGAAACCAAGGTTGATCGTGCTTCTTGCATTAGTGTTTTTGTACGTTTCATTGTGGTTCTATTCCTTAATATTTAAGACACTTTCAAGGAGAACACCGAGCACCAGAAAACATTGGACCAGATATTGACCCATACAACAGGTGCATAGCTCTGTAACGCAGTTGAAACTCGACTGTATCTGCATGCACGTCTATCACATGAGCTTATGTGTGTCTCTCCCTCTCTCTCTCTCCCTATTGCAGGTACCACGAACGAGCCACCAGGAGCCCCCGACAGGAAAGAGTAGCCTGCTTGTACATTCCCCTGATCGACCTTGACCTATCTTTGTACCCCTGACTTCCGATTTCGGTTGAATACACGTGTGTTGTTGCCACGCTCCGGTGTTCTTCCCTGTGTCACCCGACTTGTGCGAATGTGTGCTGTGTATACCGTGTGGATTCACTAATACCAGTCCGTATATCTGCACATTTCAGAACCTACGTGTGCCATCACTACATCTCGAACGTCGAATACCGCTGACTTCCTGAAGTCCCACGCTACAGCTCTCTTCCCAATTCCCCCACTTAACAGTCCACCGACAGTGCTGGATTTATGCACCAATTTATCAGCTCCCGCCTCTAATGCGCGGCTACCTACCCCAGCTCCCCGAATCATCGGTGGACGAAACTGTGACAGCTACAACCACTGTAAGACAAGTATGCGGTTATTACAACGGACAGTGATGATGATGATGATGCTTACCGTTGTCAACCGAACACTACTCATAAAGTTGCTGAAAAGTCTGAGAGGTCATTACAGATTTCACTCTTCTTGGGATCTATTAGGTGGATATCGTCCTCAACCAAAATAGGGCTAAAGAGAGTTACACAATCCTTTGCAAATTCGCTTGATTTTAAGTAGAATAAACTGAACGTCAGCTACATCACTTGTTCAAATTGACCTACTTAAACCGAACGTTTTGCGAGCATGAAACCTCATTTTCACCGTGACTGATTTTCAAGATATCCAAGTGTTTCTCCATCTGGATGAGACTCCCGTGAAATTAAACAAGCACTATATGGCTTCAAATATAATGTTCACAAATGATCGGTTAGGATCGGAGAGGTGATAACGTGGAAGGACATGTGGAGTCCGGACATAAGGTCTCCGGAACGTGGCGTTTCCCGACAAGATAACTTGTTCATTGATCCTGACAATAAGAAGCCAGGGATCTTGAGAGTTTTGGGTCAGCGGCGTGCCCCTGAGAACGTGGTGCGAGAGAAAAAGACGAACCGTAAAAAACGGTATGGAGAACGAAGACAGTATGAGTAGACCCATAATAAAAACCAACGCCAACTGTTAACCCCCTCACCATGACTACCGCGGACTACAGGATGCAACAGTTACAGCGACATTGAGAAGACGCTGGCTTCTGAAGTACATCGTGAAGAACAATGGTCAGGCAACTTAAAACCATGTAGGAATACGAATACCTTAAGCATTGGATTCTCGTCCAACTCACAGAAGACTCTTTGATGTAGGTCAACCAGAGGTTCTGTCTGAATTTACTACCTGGAGTGGAGTGAGTGGAGTGGAGTGGAGTGGAGTGGAGTGGAGTGGAGTGGAGTGGAGTGGAGTGGAGTGGAGTGGAGTGGAGTGGAGTGGAGTGGAGTGGAGTGGAGTGGAGTGGAGTGGAGTGGAGTGGAGTGGAGTGGAGTGGAGTGGAGTGGAGTGGAGTGGAGTGGAGTGGAGTGGAGTGGAGTGGAGTGGAGTGGAGTGGAGTGGAGTGGAGTGGAGTGGAGTGGAGTGGAGTGGAGTGGAGTGGAGTGGAGTGGAGTGGAGTGGAGTGGAGTGGAGTGGAGTGGAGTGGAGTGGAGTGGAGTGGAGTGGAGTGGAGTGGAGTGGAGTGGAGTGGAGTGGAGTGGAGTGGAGTGGAGTGGAGTGGAGTGGAGTGGAGTGGAGTGGAGTGGAGTGGAGTGGAGTGGAGTGGAGTGGAGTGGAGTGGAGTGGAGTGGAGTGGAGTGGAGTGGAGTGGAGTGGAGTGGAGTGGAGTGGAGTGGAGTGGAGTGGAGTGGAGTGGAGTGGAGTGGAGTGGAGTGGAGTGGAGTGGAGTGGAGTGGAGTGGAGTGGAGTGGAGTGGAGTGGAGTGGAGTGGAGTGGAGTGGAGTGGAGTGGAGTGGAGTGGAGTGGAGTGGAGTGGAGTGGAGTGGAGTGGAGTGGAGTGGAGTGGAGTGGAGTGGAGTGGAGTGGAGTGGAGTGGAGTGGAGTGGAGTGGAGTGGAGTGGAGTGGAGTGGAGTGGAGTGGAGTGGAGTGGAGTGGAGTGGAGTGGAGTGGAGTGGAGTGGAGTGGAGTGGAGTGGAGTGGAGTGGAGTGGAGTGGAGTGGAGTGGAGTGGAGTGGAGTGGAGTGGAGTGGAGTGGAGTGGAGTGGAGTGGAGTGGAGTGGAGTGGAGTGGAGTGGAGTGGAGTGGAGTGGAGTGGAGTGGAGTGGAGTGGAGTGGAGTGGAGTGGAGTGGAGTGGAGTGGAGTGGAGTGGAGTGGAGTGGAGTGGAGTGGAGTGGAGTGGAGTGGAGTGGAGTGGAGTGGAGTGGAGTGGAGTGGAGTGGAGTGGAGTGGAGTGGAGTGGAGTGGAGTGGAGTGGAGTGGAGTGGAGTGGAGTGGAGTGGAGTGGAGTGGAGTGGAGTGGAGTGGAGTGGAGTGGAGTGGAGTGGAGTGGAGTGGAGTGGAGTGGAGTGGAGTGGAGTGGAGTGGAGTGGAGTGGAGTGGAGTGGAGTGGAGTGGAGTGGAGTGGAGTGGAGTGGAGTGGAGTGGAGTGGAGTGGAGTGGAGTGGAGTGGAGTGGAATGGAGTGGAGTGGAGTGGATTGGAGTGAGTGAGTGGAGTGAGTGAGTGAGTGAGTGACAAACTGGCTGACTGACTGACTAACTCACCGACTAAATAATTGATTGACTGCCTGATTGCAATAACACATCAGTCAGCTCGCAATTTGACATACCCTCTTGTCCTCACCTTAGTCATCATCATTAACATAGAAAGCACGGTGTGCTTCCTCGTACGTAGTTTATCCATTTAAAACCAACCACGAGTGTGAACTTTCATGGTGTTTTTCTCATTTCCGGGTGAGGATATAAGGAGTGGTAACCTGACCAGGCCACAATGATTTTTCTGCGTTATTTCGCTTCACGTCAGTCCCCATGTAATTCTGCTTCACCCTATCCGCAATGCAATCTTTGCGTGAAAACTGACCCCATTTTTCACGTCGCCTCCCTTAACCCTGCAAATCAGCGAAGGACGTGGCTACAACTGACCGTTTATAAGTGTCGGCCAAACAGATATAGCAGTGGTCTATGTAATGAGTTACGCTTCCAGGTGACAAATCAAACATGCGTCATGTGTTTTCAAGTGCTATTCCATTCTCCGGAAATTGAGTGATGCCGAGTGAATGCCGTATGCTCTCTTACAGGAAAGCAGTGGGGAGCAAACGTTCATCGAAACGCACCATCACCGCAGTTTTGGGTCGATTTGATTGACAAACGATTTGTGCCCTTTTGCGAGGTTCGGGAAAGAAACTAAGGACGGTTTATATGTGTCTTCTCCTCTTCGGCTTTTCGGGATTATTTTGATTCCACTGAACGCATATTTATTTAAGTAGAACTTTACCGAATTGGAAGTGTTTCAACAAATTTATGAAGCCCATGATACTGGGGCGGGGGAGTTGATTCTCGAAGTACGTAATTTCGGAAAATGTATTCGGGCCTGGCGAATCTCCGGAATCGCTTCACTTCACGGTCCCTTTAGCCTCCCCTGACCGCAGATACTCTTGATGAGGGGATGGGTATCAGCCCAATAAAACCAAGCTAATAAACACTCAGAATAAATTTCGGGTCCATGGATTGGGACCATTACAAAAAGCCTATTGAGTATGCCGAAAACTCCATATGCCCTACAATTTAGGATGGCATTACTTAGGACCCATTTCCTTCTGAAATTTGGAGTTTCCTGACAGATTTGGGAAAGTGGATCATAGCTCAATGTTAACACACCACGAACTTGACGGGTCCCATTTCAACCGGACACAGTGTTTTAATAAATCTCTCATCACAGCTATCCATGGACAGTTTTTATGAACAAGATTTCTCGGTATACCACTACCGCCGTGCCTGACGACCTGCGCTGAAACCGTCACTCAGTTGCAGTCTGATACAACAAATGAATAGGTTTTTGCCAGAACTACAGACCCAGTGCGGTAGGCGTCGATGCATTTACAGCGTGACTTGTACGACAAGCCAGTGTCGACTCTCCCCGAATGATGTGTGTTTGTTAAGCGAAACTGTCTTTCAACATGATTGTCAAACTGTGTGCAACCTTTGCGTAACGAAAATTACAAACTGACAAGTCAATCTCTCCACCTATATGTCTTCGGAGATCAAACTGATGGCAGTCGTCTGTTTACTCGCCTTGTTAGAAATAACCTGCCTGCTACGACAATGACCCGAGCTGGAGATTTAACTTGCACGCATCGCACGTTCCAACTTCATTCATTCCAGATGAGTCAACGAAAACTTTCTACGATGCTCCACAAGTGCGATGTTTCTAGGCTCATTACTGACCTGTCAGGTCAGCATATTGACTGGAGTAGTTCACATTTTGTGTGACAAACTAAGCCAAGTCACCAGCGTTGAACTATTAGCTGTTTGTTTTTGGATGAGGTCTACGTTTGAATTGTAATCAACACACGCTGGGGCTCCTTCTCAGGCCGATTGGAAGCCCATTGGGTCTGACTCGGCAACCCATGTGTTCATAGAATGATCTTTGTCCCGATGTCTTTATGTGGAGCATCCAATCTTCGACACCAGTTTGACTCACCCTTGAGTGAGTAATCTTGTCAAACTGATGAATGCTCATTTTTATGAGGCGACACTACAGCCTGGATGTTCATACATGTTGCAGGTACTATCTACGAGAACAGTGTCATCGTGCGGGGAGAGGGAACACATAATTAGCGTGTTCACTGCATCAGCCACTTGGTGATGCCGATCTTTCAAAAGCAATAAGCTGTTTGAAGATGTTTGATCAATAGTTTTTTCATCAGCTCTGAGATCTAGGCTCATGTGTTCCGTTGTACCTTTCTTGCAGGTTTGTGAACAGTGTTGCAATCGGGTTTCCCGAAAGTTTCACGTCAGTTTTCGCCATAGCTATGACAGTCCTGTGGAACCTTGGTCGTATCCTTTTATAGCTAAGCTAGCTGAGATGGTGCCCCGGTTCACTCCATGATCGTAACATTTACAGCAACAATATTCCGATATAAGAAACGTTCACGTGGGCAATGTACGACAAAGAAGTATATTCGTTTTTAGATTATCTCAATGTTGACGGAAGTCACAGCTGGATCCAAATTGAATTTCCCTCACCAAGGACAACTTCGGTCAGTGTAGGCTAAGGGGACCGTGAAGTGAAGCGATTCCGGAGATTCGCCAGGCCCGAATACATTTTCCGAAATTACGTACTTCGAGAATCAACTCCCCCGCCCCAGTATCATGGGCTTCATAAATTTGTTGAAACACTTCCAATTCGGTAAAGTTCTACTTAAACAAATCTGCGCTCAGTGGAATCAAAATAATCCCGAAAAGCCGAAGAGGAGAAGACACATATAAACCGTCCTTAGTTTCTTTCCCGAACCTCGCAAAAGGGCACAAATCGTTTGTCAATCAAATCGACCCAAAACTGCGGTGATGGTGCGTTTCGATGAACGTTTGCTCCCCACTGCTTTCCTGTAAGAGAGCATACGGCATTCACTCGGCATCACTCAATTTCCGGAGAATGGAATAGCACTTGAAAACACATGACGCATGTTTGATTTGTGACCTGGAAGCGTAACTCATTACATAGACCACTGCTATATCTGTTTGGCCGACACTTACAAACGGTCAGTTGTAGCCACGTCCTTCGCTGATTTGCAGGGTTAAGGGAGGCGACGTGAAAAATGGGGTCAGTTTTCACGCAAAGATTGCATTGCGGATAGGGTGAAGCAGAATTACATGGGGACTGACGTGAAGCGAAATAACGCAGAAGAAACATTGTGGCCTGGCCGGGTTACCACTCCTTATATCCTCACCCGGAAATGAGAAAAACACCATCAAAGTTCACACTCGTGGTTGGTTTTAAATGGATAAACTACGTACGAGGAAGCACACCGTGCTTTCTATGTTAATGATGATGACTAAGGTGAGGACAAGAGGGTATGTCAAATTGCGAGCTGACTGATGTGTTATTGCAATCAGGCAGTCAATCAATTATTAAGTCGGTGAGTTAGTCAGTCAGTCAGCCAGTTTGTCACTCACTCACTCACTCCACTCACTCACTCACTCACTCACTCACTCACTCACTCACTCACTCACTCACTCACTCACTCACTCACTCACTCACTCACTCACTCACTCACTCACTCACTCACTCACTCCACTCACTCACTCGTTTTGCCGGAATTCGTAGAATTATGTAACGTCCAATTAAATTAACATCTTTACTCAACTATATCCTCAATATATGTTCGTTCAATTATGTTGTTGGTAATGAGTGCGGTGAGGACAAGAGGCTATGAGCAATTGCGACCTGACTGTTGTATATTTTCAGTCGGCCAGTCAATCAGTTATTTAGTCGGTCAGTCAGTCAGTCAGCCAGCCATTCGGTCTCCTGAGTGCCACTCGAAATCTGAGCTGAAGTCTGATGCAGCGGATTGATGAAGCGGGTGTTCTGTGACACAAAAATCAAATTTAAACCTGTATACGTCGACAAATTTAACTGGGTTTGTGTTCGTGATCTTTTGACAATCAGACATCAAACGTAACAATACGATGACTATTTGGCGAACTGTGATGAATAGGTAGGAGGTTTCTCCCTTCAACCAAGGATCGCGGAAGACTTCAAGCCATCAGAGTGCAGGATCGAGTAAGTGACCCACTGTTTTCGCAATTTCTGACGGGGTGTCGTCTAAATTTCATGCCAAATTCAACTTTATTTTCCATCGATCCAGAAATTTGTTTTTAGACGCGTGAGTTAAAGACCATCAGACCAAACGACTGTTCTCATCAGTATCACATTCCATCTGGGTGTTCTACCACACACTCTGCACTGAGTTTGTCGTCGATACAGTGGAATTCATGATTTGCGTCGAAACTACAAATGTGGTGACAAAGTAAAATTGAACAACTTATACTGAGTGAATTAGATTCCGTGCTGTGAGACCGATCGAGGTGCTACTTGTGTGTGCACGGCCAGAAGTCCATCCAGTTCGGATGCTCCACAGACCAAAAAGCGATAACCATCGAGTTGGAGCCTGGTAGTTCCACCATTTCATTCATGCCTTGCATGCCTGGACTCCGTTTATAGAATCTTGACCTGGTGACCGCAGCTGACGCATGTATGAATCTGTCGTGAATGTACTCAGTGCGTTTACCTCCGCGATGAATTCCTAGTCCAGAAAGACACGTTTACTCTCTGCTACCACAATGAGAAAATCAGACGAGGGATTCAATTCACTCCGGAGTGAGCTTGAAGTTTGGTGAGGTCGACAAAGTAAAATGAGGTGAGGTTGAATAAAATCTTGGATTGGGGACTTGGTCTCAACCGTCAAACTGTTAGTTATCTATAGGGCTTCGGAGCGAAATTTTCTGGATTGCACCTTCGTTCTTTTGAGGCTTTCCAATCCCGTGTATCCATTCCGTAGGAAATGTACTAAACTTGTTCGTCCTCTTGCATCCCACTTGAACCGACCACTTCAAACCTGCTTTGGGGTTTTCCATCGACAGTCCTCGTCCCAAAGAGGAAAATTCAAGAGGAACCGTAAATCAAAGGAATACTTAACGTCATTTCTTCGAAATGTTGGAACAAAATAATAAGATATGAATAGGCGCATTTTCTGTCTTTTATCAGCTGGGCTGTCCCAGAATAGAA